TTTTTTTGAGACAGGGTCTCACCCTGTTGCCCAGGCTGGAGTGCAATGATGCAATCTCAGCTCACTGCAACTTCCGCCTCCTGGGGTCAGGCAATCCTCCTACCTCAGCCTCCTGAATAGCTGGGACTACAGGTGCATGTCACCACACACGGCAGATTTTTTTATTTTTTGGTACAGATGGGGTTTCTCCATGTTGCCCAGGCTAGTCTCAAACTCCTGAGCTCAAGCAATCTGCCTGCTTTGGACTCCCAAAGTGTTGGGATTACAGGCGTGAGCCACCACGCCTGGCCAACTTCTCACTCTTAAAGGCAAAATAGTGAACAGCAACTTAAAGATGAAAAAAGCTAAGGTTGCAATATTCAACAAGGCATCACATTCAACAACATACCCCTGGTCGGTTACACACATACTGGCTGAATTCCACACTCCTCTCTATGGTAAAAGAGTTCTGCAGGCTCTGATGTTGGCTGGAAAAAAACTAGGCACCTGCTCTTCCCAGCACTGAAATATGGCCAAAAAAGAAAAAAAAAACCCATAAACACACAGCAAAATCAGCAAGCAAAACTAGCATTTAGGCAGGGAGTGGTGGCTCACGCCTGTAATCTCAGCACTTTGGAAGCCCGAGTCGGGCGGATCACTTGAGGTCAAGAGTTCGAGACCAGCTTGGCCAACAAGGTGAAACTCCATTTCTACTAAAAATACAAAAATTAGCCAAGGTGTGGTGGTCGCGTGCCTATAGTCCCAGCTACCTGGAGGCTGAGGCAGGAGACTCGCTTGAACCCGGCAGGTGGAGGTTGCAGTCAGCCAAAATCATGCTCCTGGGTGATAGACGGAGACTGTCTCAAAGGGAGAAAAAAAAAAAAAAAAGCTAAGTAGCATTTATATGAAACTATGACTCCGATGTTGGGGGGTGAGGCAAGTAGAGAGGACAGAATATATCATAATGCCTTAAACAAAACTTTTGAGAGAGAGAAGACTATAAAACACCCTTTAAGCACTTACTCACTGGACTCCATTTGTTTCTAAGAAATAAGATATACAGACTCACTTTAGAAGGCTTCCTCCTACACTGTATCTGAGACACCATAAATATAAACATACATTATGTTGCCACTCTATGGTAAGGCTGAACCTGGACACTTCTAAGGAATGGAACAACCATGAAGACAGTTGGCCAAAGATAGGACTGACATTCACCCTGGGGGAGCTCCTCCTAGTAGCTACAACCCAACCCAAAACAGCTTCTGGGTTTGTGATGCTGGTGCTGGCTAATAAGCTGCGTAAGCGTTGTTTGTTTTTTGTAGAGAGGAGTCTCACTGTGTTGCCCAGGCTGGTCTCAAACTCCTGGCCTCAAGCAATCCTCCTGCCTCGTCCTCCCAAAGTACTGGGATTACAGACCTGAGCCACCGCGCCTGACCTACAAAAGTGCTTTTTTCACAACCACAGCACTGCCTCTCAAGGAGCTAACAGTCTGGCAGAAACTCGTGAAAACCAATTTCATGTCAGAGGTAGCAACCCCAACATTCTATCCCGGCTCTTTTTCTTAAGTGAAGAAAGGGACAGGGCGGGGGGCGGAACAATGGTATTAAAGACACTAGCAATATGACAACCAAAATAAACGAAGTTGAAACAGTACGTCCTGCCTTCTTCCTAAAGCCATTTCCTTCAATAGTGATAGGAGTGCAGGCCGTCTGCAAGTCATTAGTACGCTGCTATTTTCACTTTCACAAGGACCCTGGAAACCTCTGAAGAGCAAAATCCTCCTTTTCGCCTCACAGATACCATCCAACCCCCTTTCTGTGCTTCCTTCCTTCCTTCCCCAGAGAAAACCGAATAGGGACAATCCTCAGCAATCCGCTATTTTGCTTCACTGACAAGGGAGGTGGCGGGGGCGGGGGGAGTGAAAAGTGGAAAAGAACGTAGAGGAAGGTGAGAAGACACAGCGGAAGGAGTATGGGGGGAGGTCATCGTGGGGAAAAGACCAGGTATAAAAGAATGCAAGAAAATTGAGGGGAGAGTTATCAGAGGGAAACTTGCTAAGAAAAAAATAATAATAATAAGGACAGGAGAGGTAAAGAGGTGAGATCAGGTGAAGCAGCCCACGATGAATTAAGAGGTGGGCAGGAGGTACGGGGCCGGAGCCGTGACGCCCAGGGTCTAGGGCCAGTGGCTGGAAAAGTGGGCAGCAGGTATTCGGCAGACCGATGTCCTGGGAGTCAAGGGTGTGCGGAAAGCTCCAGACCCAGTTCCGGGACATCAGAGCCAGGAATCTATGAGGTTCCCAAGTACAGAGAACACGGGGCTCTTACCGGTAGTTTGGGGCTGACCTCGCCCTTGCAAAAGTGGCAGAAAAACCGGTGGGCGGCTACAGCGGCGCCCGAGTCCGCCCCGGCCGCCGAAGCCTCCGCCATTTTTGTCCTCCGCCGCGGCCGTCCGAGAGGGCAGCCGGCCCGTCCCTCGCCAGGCCGCTACCTCCCGGGCTGCAGTAGCCACCGCCGCCTCGGTGCGGCCCACCGCTTCAGAGCCCGCGTCGGTCACGTGAGTCGGCCAGACCCAGAGAGGCGGCGGCGCCAACAGCAACCCTGCGGCCCGCCTCCCAGCACCAAATAGGCGCAGGAAGGAGAGGCAAACCGCCCGCCCGCCGGCTCCACAAACAGCCCCTCGCTGGTCCTCCAGCCTTCCAGCGAGAAGAAAGAAAGAGCGTCCCCGGAAGCCGCCGAAACTCTAGCGTAGAGCGGCACGCGCTTTTTGCCTTTCCGCGTCCTCTTCGGTGGCCGTCCTCTTCCTTGAAAGGGCGGTGGGCTCCACTTCCGCTCAGAAGGCCAGCGGGAGCCGCAGGAAGCCGTCGCGGGAAGTTCAGCGGCATTGGGGTTGGTGCCTCTGAACTGCGCTGATCCTGAGGTTAGTGGAAAATGCTGTCTGAACGTGGCAGCACTGACTGGACCAAGAGACCAAATCCGGAATGGGAACCTGTGTAAAGGGAGTGTAGAGCTAGGAGCCAAGCGTCTTGTAAGTCCTTTCCGAGGATGGCAAGGGATCTGGGAATGCTTCTCCAAAGATACGCGGATGGACGAAATAGGTCTCTGGTGATACTGAGGCTTCTTAGGAATTGGAAGAAATAAGTAATGTTTGGTAGCAATTTGTAATAAGGAAGTAATCGTATAATAAACTACGTCCGTTTCTGATTGTGTCAACTTTGTCAAGGAGTAGAAGTTTAAGAATTGAATGCTGTCCTGCAAACAACGTAACCTCATCTCCTATTTGACACGCCCTGTTGAGAAACAGTTCTTTACCGCCTAAATTTCTTTTTCGAAATTATCATTTCCTTTATGAACTAAGAATAACACTGCCTGCTCACTTCCACTGTGCTGTGAACAGTGACCTTAATTCTTCCAAGCAATGAAGTGTAGAAACTAAGGTCTGTGACAGACTGCAAAATCATCTACTCCCAATCTTTAAAGAAAATCAGAATCATGCATAATCCCATAGAGGTATATTTGATGCACAGTCTTTTTCTTTGCATACATTTTTCCTTTTTTTACAATAATTGAATTTTTATATTTTTCAGCTTCTGTCACTTAATATATTATGAATAATTTTCCTCTGTTTGCTTTTTTTTTTGGTTTTTTTTTTTTGGAGACAGAGTCTCGCACTGTCGCCCGGGTTGGAGTGCAGTGGCGCGATCTCAGCTCACTGCAACCTCCGTCTCCTCACTTCAAGCGATTCTCCTGCCTCAGCCTCCCAAGTAGCTGGGATTACAGGCGCCCGCCACCACGCCAAGCTAAATTTTTTTTGTATTTTTAGTATAGAAGGGGTTCACTATGTTGGCCAGGCTGTTCTCAAACTCCTGACCTTGTGATACGCCCACCTCAGCCTCCCAAAGTGCTGGGATTGCAGGCATGAGCCACAGCGCCAGCCTATTATGAATAATTTTCTTCTACACGAATACACATGGTACTAAATAACTTTGTTGGCATAGTATGCCATTGTATGGGTATGCCATCATTTATTGTTAGACGTTAGATTGTTTCCAGTAAGTCTGTATTATAGAGAGAACTAATGACTTCATTATTATTAGCTTTTTATTCTTTCCTTGGATACAATATCCAAAAAGAAATTGTTGTTTCAAACATATGCAAGATTTTTAAGGCTTTTTGATATGTATTGTCAAATTACCCTCCAGAAAGAATACATGAATTTACACTCAGCAGCTCTGCCTCCAGCATGAAAGACTTTCCATTGTACCATTTTGGTGTTTTTTCCCTAGCTCTCAGACTCCCCAGTACCATGACTCAAGCAGAAATTAAGCTCTGTTCTTTGTTGCTGCAAGAGCATTTTGGAGAGATTGTAGAAAAAATTGGAGTCCATCTGATAAGAACCGGCAGCCAGCCACTAAGAGTAATTGCCCATGACACAGGAACATCACTGGATCAGGTATGTCTAAATGACATTAATTTTCTCTCATTTCACTAATTTATCTCACCCATCTTTGAATATTGTTCTTCTCACCCCAGAAAGGGAAAAATGAAGAAAACCTGCCCTGGGAGCAGAACAATGTTTTTTGGGGAAGAAAAGGATGGGACTTAGGCATCAACATTTTGTTTCTCAAAGTGTTCCTAGTTCATGACAGCTTTTAGGCAAATCTTTGCTCTTCCCATGCCATACCTCATTTATTCACAATAGGTCTTTTAATCTCAGTACTGCCTTTAAGGAATGAGAATGATGAAAGTAAATTGTGTTTTGAAAGATAAGGATCAGAGTAAATATAGCAAGGAATCTTCCTGATTTATTGTATTGATGTCTGATTCTTATTAGCTACTCCAATGGAGAGAAAATAAGTGCAGAAATTATCTAGCCATTTTCTTAGTAAGTTGTTGCTTAGTAAGTTGTTGGACAAAAAATTTCCAGCAGTAATGAGCTATATCTTCAGGTCTTTCCTCTCTTCTCTTTATGTCCCATCTAGGTGAAAAAAGCCCTGTGTGTCCTCATCCAACATAACCTGGTGAGTTATCAAGTGCACAAACGTGGTGTGGTGGAGTATGAAGCCCAGTGCAGCCGGGTATTGCGAATGCTTAGATATCCCCGGTACATCTATACTACCAAAACTCTGTACAGTGACACTGGAGAACTGATCGTTGAGGAGCTTCTGTTGAATGGCAAACTGACAATGTCAGCTGTTGTGAAGAAAGTGGCAGACCGGCTCACAGAGACCATGGAGGGTTAGTACTGTATCCATAGTTGTTAACAGAAGCATAGATCAGCTGGCTACAGGAATGGACCCTTAGCTATCTTAGGCCGTCTCATCTGCCTTTTTCCTCCTCTTATACAGATGGCAAGACTATGGACTATGCTGAAGTATCAAACACATTTGTACGACTGGCAGACACACACTTTGTACAACGCTGCCCCTCAGTACCTACCACTGAGAATTCAGACCCTGGGCCACCACCACCTGCCCCCACACTTGTCATTAATGAAAAGGACATGTACCTGGTTCCTAAGCTGAGCTTGATAGGTAAGGAATTTTAACCCCTGGAACTGTGACTTGCCTTAATTGTGGATTCTTCTTGATTGATTATCAAATGTATGAATCAGGTGAACATTTACCATTGGTAAATCAGACTGATTTACCAATCAGTCTGAACATTTGCTATGTGTCAAACATCGTGGTGGATAACAATGAAAAAATCATGGTCTCTGTCATGGGGCTTTAGGAGACATACATTAATCAGAAAATCACATCGATATATCATTAAACGATGATAAGTACTATGAAGGAAATATTCCTATGAAGGAACTGTCATAGTATTATGACACATACATTAATCAGAAAATCACATAGATATATGATTAAACCGTGATAAGTACCATGAAGGTAAAGTATGAGGTGTTATGAAAATATATAATGGAGGCCGGGCACGGTGGCTCAAGCCTGTAATCCCAGCACTTTGGGAGGCCGAGACGGGCGGATCACGAGGTCAGGAGATCCAGACCATCCTGGCTAACACGGTGAAACCCCGTCTCTACTAAAAAAATACAAAAATTAGCCGGGCATGGTGGCGGGTGCTGTAGTCCCAGCTACTCTGGAGGCTGAGGCAGGAGAATGGCATGAACCCGGGAGGCAGAGCTTGCAGTGAGCCAAGATCTGAGATCATGCCATTGCACTCCAGCTCTGTCACACTCCAGCCTGGGTAACAGAGCAAGACTCCATCTCAAAAAAAAAAAAAGCATTTGAGGAAATGAGAGAGTGTCAGTATAGCTAAAGCATTGTAAGCAAAGCAAAGAGGCATGAGATAAGGTTAGAGACATAGATAGGCAGGGGTCTGATATCAGAAGCTAATCAGGATCGACCTGCTTAGTACTTGGATGGGAAACAGGCAGGGACTAAATCAAGTAAGACCTTATAGAGCATTTGTTCTTTATGCTAAGAGCAAAGGAAAACCACTAAAGGATTTTTTAGGAAATGACATGATCTAATTTATACTTTTAAAAGATTTTTTGTCTACAGAAAGGATGGGAGAATGGGGCAAAGGTAAATGTTGACAGACTGGTGGAAAATGAAACAGAGGGTGAAGGAGACAAGTATTAAGAATGACATTTGTGTGTCTGACTTGCACATGTGGAAGAATGGTGATATCATTGGCCATGAAAGAGAGTATTGGAGGAGAAAGACTATAAGCTGCTTTTTGAACATGTTGAGTTTCAGATCATTTCATCCTTTACTTGAATTTCTTATAGCTCTTCAGCCCCCTAAGCAACTCTGATCTAGAGGCAGCTATAGATGCCTTTGGAGTGAAAGACACCTGCTCTCATGTTTGGTCATTTGCTGTCATACAGTCATACAGTCTAAGTGTTCAATTATTTGTTTGGCAGGAAAAGGTAAAAGGCGCAGATCATCTGATGAAGATGCTGCTGGGGAACCCAAGGCCAAGAGACCAAAACATACTACAGATAACAAGGAGGTAATGGGGCTTCTTGATTAGAAGTCCTCACCCTGAAGCAGGCCAGAAAGAGCACTCAGATAACAAGCCCCAAGAGAGCTTAAAGCTTCCTGAGCTAAGAAGCAGTAGGATTATGAACCTCATTAAATATTAGAAATAGAATGAACCATTCTATTCATTCACAAAGAATGAACCATTACTGTCTCCCTTCTGAGCCTTAATTCTTTCATTGAACAGAGATAACAGGCTATGTAAAAAGGGGCCTAGAAAAAGTTTAGATTGCTCAATATGGCAAGAACCTAAAAACAGTGGTGAAAAATGGGTCTAAAAACTATACATAGGCCTGAACTCATATTCAGTGCCTTCTTAGCATGCCTATAAAGATGTCAGTAAGCATCTCAAACTTGGTGTGGCCAAAACAGAATAATTGATTCCTCCTCTTAGTAAAAGACACTACCACCTAGGCCAGCCACCTAGGACACCACCATTTCTGCTTAGGCCAAAATCCTTGGAACCCTCTAATCTCACAGTAAAACATATCAGCCCAGTTTCCATAATTACCTCAAATCCAACCATTTCTCATCTTTTAACTGCCGTCTCTCATCAACTCTTTCCTAACCCTTTCGTTAATGGTCTCCCTAGCTGCATTCTTACCTACTTAGTAGCCAAAATGACTTTCTAAGTTCAAAACAAAACAATACATCCACTGATTAG